GGAGAAGGTAGGGTGGGCCTCACCTCAATTGAGATAGCGACCCTGGGGAGAAGTGCACTCCGACTTAGAGTGACCTTCGCCCCTACACAAAGGATAGAGAGAGACAGTCACAGAGCAGCGGAGGGCACCATGCCCAAACAGCCAGCACTTATTTCAGAGCCGATGAGAGGGAATGTACTCCTGGACGGAGCACCTGGCACCTTCAAGAATGACAGAGGGTGGAAGGGTCCTACCATCGAAGGTAATCTTCACAATCCGAAGGGGTTGACGGTGACGACCTCGAGAAGGACGAGTAAATGAGTCTACCTGGAGGACAGAATGGCCCTTGGCTTCGAGGATATGTCGAATATCTTCGTGGCAGTCCTGTAGATTCCGAACACCGGTTGCAACATGGTGTGGGAGCAGAACAGTGCTAACACTCATTCAACTGAGCGTTCTTGGAGACCCAAACAGGAGTCTCGCTAAGGCAGGATAAGACGGCCAAGCGAGAGGCTGTATCCTGAGAAGGAGCAGCAACAACACATGTACCGAGACAAGTAGGGTTGAAGGTAACAGAGTCATCCACGGAATCAACAAAATGTCGATAGAGGGAGAAATCGTCAGGAGGCGCAGAATCAAGAGGGAGGAGATCAAAATATTTGGCCCATGAAGCGTGACCAAACTAGGCCTGATTCGCATCAGTACGGGAAGGAATCGAGCGAGTGCTGCCATGGCGCAGACGGCGTTGAGAACCCCCAGAAAGAGAGAGGGGGGTTAAAAGGTGCAGTAGTCACAACGAGAGGAAACCGAGCCACACCAGGTGACGAAGTGGTCACCACTGGGGGCTTGGGGCTCGACCCAACCACAGAGGAGGGAGGGGAGCCGAGGGAAGAAGTCAGGAGGGTCAAAGGAGGAGCAAGGTCGGGGCTCAATGCAGCGGGGGCTACAGAGCCCAGTCTTCCAATACAGTCTGACTCGGGGGGGCTTGGTCGCCCACCCCACGAGCCTGAGAGGGTACAACAGAGACATTTATCGACATCGAGACGAAGAGAAAGAAATTCATTCACGAATGTGCCACCATACCCACCATGGAGCCACAATTAGAGGCAGGACACCCAACAAGAAGCTATCGCCGATCATGCCGGGGCCCCCTAGTGGTACGTCGTGAGCATACGCCCCACAAACACCACCTTAAGAACCGTCAGTCCATCGAGATCGAGTTCAGTGACGAAAGGAGGATTGACAATAAAAGGTTCCCCTTGCTCGAGACGTTGGGTACTACAGTTCTACGGGTGCAAGAGTATGCCTCCTCAAGCACCCGAGCGCCAAAACAAAATAAGGCCAAAAGATTGATCGAAACAGGCACAAGGTCAGCAAGAAATGACAAAGAGAAAAGAGAAGTGGGGGGGGGGTGGAGGAAACGAAACAGAAGAAATAGGAAAAGTTGTCCAGCAGAATTAGACAGGACAGCAGCAGGAGCTTAAGGCTACAAAAGGACAGAGGACTGTCCCAAGGAGCATCACACTCCGGCAGCCGCCCACCAAGCCCCCTCACAGCAACAACAAGCTGCACAGGGGGGGGGTGAATATTCATAAAAAGAAAAAGAATAAAGCCTGCTAGGATTTTCCCACATGCCCTATTAAACCACTGATTCTTTTGTTGCTTCTGGGCTTTTTTTCCTGTCGGGCCCTTGATAAACCTGTTTACTGCCTTCTGACACTTTTGGATGACATAGTCCATCATGTCTTGTACGGACATAGTTCTGAGTTCTGTGTCCTATGGTATATCCCTTAGGAATTTTCTCATCTCCTCATAATTTCCCTTTCGGTATGCCAGCCCTTTGTTTCCCCAGTTCTTTTTGGGGGGAGATAATTCGTAGCTCAACCAGGTACACAAAGATCAATACACTGTGATCACTCATTCCCAAGTGGGCTTCCAACTTAACTTCCCTTATATCTGACTCATTTAGGGTAAATATCATATCAAACAAAGCTGGTTCATCCTCTCCTCTCCTCTCATTCTTGTCAGTCCCTTGATGTGTTGGCTTAGAAAGTTTCTTGTTGCCACGTCCAGCAGCTTAGCTCTCCATGTGTCCGGTCCTCCATGTGGGTCTCTGTTCTCCCAATCTATCTTCCCGTGGTTGACGTCTCCCATGATTAGTAGTCTGGATCTGTTCCTGCTAGCTACAGAAGCTCCTCTCTCTATTATGTTGATGGTGGCAATGTTGTTTCTGTCATATTCCTATCTGGGTCTTCTGTGATTTGGTGAGGGTTATGTATGACTACTACTGTAATTTTATGTCCTCCAATTGCTATGGTAACTGTCATGTAATCACTGGGAAATCTTCACAGTCCTGAATAACCATCTCTTCAAAACTCCAGCCTATTCTTATCAGCAAATGTACACCACCACCTCCTCTCCCTTCTCTCTCTTTCTGTGTGTGTGTGTGTGTGTGTGTGTGTGTGTGTGTGTGTGTGTGTGTGTGTGTGTACGTACTTAAGTGTTGGGGTGTTTACACAAGGACACAAGACGGTGGGGAGGGGGGGGGAGGGATGGTGGGAGAGAAGGAGTCACAAGGAAGGAGACTCATCTGCTGGAGGGGGAGATCCCGGACCTTGGCCGGGATGCTCACGTCCGTCCTGGAGAGGAGCGGCGACACCTCACAGCCTCCCTCTAGTGGTGAAGCTCAGGGCGGATCACCTCCCCTCACCACCCTCACCCCCATCAGCCCCCACCACCACCACTAGCCCCTACCACCACCACCACCACCACTAGCCCCTACCACCCCCACCAGCAGTTCGGAGTATTGAATGGAATACCAATGTTTACACACTTCACCCTGTTTTTTCATACTGTAGATGTTTCTATGAACATTCAATAGAGATCGATATATAAAGAGAGAGGGAGGGGAGAGAGAGAGAAGGAAGGGAGAGAGAGAGAAAGAGAGGGAGGGGAGAGAGAGAGAAGGAAGGGAGAGAGAGAGATTATCTGATATACAAGTTCCCATTGAATTAATCAACCAATATAATAGAGGAGACAAAGCCTCCCTGTAAAAGCTGGCATTAACTTTACAAGTTTTCGAGCCATCATAGTTGACAGTGTGGCACCCACCGTCACCTGGAGGGTGACAGTGTGGCACCCACCGTCACCTGGAGGGTGACACCTGCCGTCACCTGGAGGGTGACAGTGTGACACCTGCCGTCACCTGGAGGGTGACAGTGTGACACCTGCCGTCACCTGGAGGGTGACACCTGCCGTCACCTGGAGGGTGACAGTGTGACACCTGCCGTCACCTGGAGGGTGACACCTGCCGTCACCTGGAGGGTGACAGTGTGACACCTGCCGTCACCTGGAGGGTGACAGGAACAGTTGACAAAGGTGGTAATAACAGAGAATCGACATGGACCATGGACAGTGACAGTCGACAGGAACACTAATCAGTGCCAATAAACAGAGCCAGCAGACAGGTCCAGTAGACAGGGCCAGAGCAGAGAGTTGCTGTAAACAGGAGCAAAGCAGACAAGGACAAATGAAAGGTTTTGTTACCGGCGAAAAAGAATCTGTCAACAGGGACAGCGGTTGACAGCGACGGGTAAACTGTTTACAGCTCCCGTCTCAAGCAGGAGCCTCGGGACGAACAAAACACACAAAATCGAAGTTAAAATATTGGACAAAATTCCGAAATATCGTCTCCACAGAGGGGGGGAGGGGGGTTATACTCCCCCCTTCCTCGCTCGGGGGCGAGGGGCCGGGGGGGGGGGAGGAAGGTTATACTCCCCCCTTCCTCGCTCGGGGGCGGCGGGGGGGGGGGGGGGGGGGAGTTGTATACCGGTTCCCAGTGAACACAATTTTATTTGCTGGATTGGATTCTACGTCGCTCTGTTTCACCCTCTGTTTCACGCTGTATGGACGGGTGAGGGAGGTAAGGGAGGGAGAAGGTAAGGGGTGAGGGAGACAAGAGAGTGAGGGCGGTGGGCAAGGGGGGGGGAATGGAGATAAGGAAGGTGTGGGGGTGGATATATTGGGGTGAGGGAGGGGGGAGATATTGGGGTGAGGGAAGGGGGGAGATATTGGGGTGAGGGAGGGGGGAGATATTGGGGTGAAGGGGGAGATATTGGGGTGAGGGAAGGGGGGAGATATTGGGGTGAGGGAAGGGGGGAGATATTGGGGTGAGGGAGGGGGGAGATATTGGGGTGAGGGAGGGGGGAGATATTGGGGTGAGGGGGGGGGAGATATTGGGGTGAAGGGGGAGATATTGGGGTGAGGGAAGGGGGAGATATTGGGGTGAAGGGGGAGATATTGGGGTGAGGGAAGGGGGGATATAGGCATGAAAGGTGTGGGAGAGCTGAGGGTAGAAGGGAGATAAGGTGTGATATGAACGTGTGATTATTAGCTCGTTAGTGATTATTTACATAGCTGAGTAAACAAAAGTCATTGAAGTAGTGGCTATGATTACTCTGATAAGGTGATAGACAGGAGCGGGTCTTGATCAGAAATACTAAGTCTGATGAACTAAGGTGGAGGACGGGAGCTGGAGCTCGGTAATGGCGTTTTCTTTACTTACTCAGAAGTATGACTGCTTTAAATTTTACGGAAATTGATTAGGTATTAACGAAGATACGAGAGGAGATTAAGATGGGGGACAGGAGCTGGAGCTCGGTAACAATATTGTTGTAATCACTGAGGGCTGCCCTCTGCGAGTCCCAACCAGCCAAGTGGAAGGACGGAGTACATAGCCCTCGGATTAGGAGAACTTATTCTTAGGAAGAGAATTGCTGAGAAAAGCAACTATACAAGATAAAATGAACAGGAACTGAGACAATGAGAGCACACTGAGTAAAAATCCGCCCCTCAGCGGGGGGGGGGGGGCAGGCTATGAGAAACAGAAGGAACTAGCAAATCTGTTATCAACTCTCAGAGTAAGATATTCTAGACTAATACCCACAAAGGACTCCTCATTCATAGCACTATGCTACCAGGATGTAGATGTGGATACAATCATCAAGGGAGACAACATACGTATGTTGAGGGATAAACATTTCCAGGTTATTATTCCCCCTGAGCTGCAGGCCAGGAAGACAATAATCTTGGAGAGACTTGATGGAGGAATTACTGAAGACACCCATGAAAATATTAAACACGATATAGAACAGAGGAATGATTGGGCCAAGGTGGAAGAGGTAATCCTCATGCCGAGATTGTCTAACATGATGAAAATAAGGTTTGAAGAAATCTGCATGGCACAGAAAGCCCTCAGCCAAGGTATCCATTGCAACTACTATCACCTTAGCACCGACAACAACAACCTTGAGCAGGAGGAATACTATAACATTACCCCTTGTTGGACATGCTATAAATACGATCACACAGCCGCAGAGTGCAAACAAACGGGCCAAGTATGTTCAGAATGTGCCGGGCAGGGACACACATACAGAGACTGCATAAATAAATCAAACCCCAAATGTCTCAACTGTGGTGATCCCCACCGCACACTGGCATCAATATGTCCCACTAGGAAGGACATCCTAAAACAAAAAAGGGCCGATGCCTTAGCAAAAAAGACAGCAATGGCCAATAATACTTATGCAGGTATAACTACCACCAATGCTTGGTCAAACAAGGTATCACATAATCCAGCAAACACTACCCCACACACTCCAACAAACATGACCTCACAGGTAAATGGGGACCTACCCACAAAGATCCTGAGCAGTATGTTCTTTGCTCATTTAGAAAACATAGCAAACCCAGGGGTCATTTAGATCTGTAATTAAAGAAATGTACAAGATGAATAGTCTCCCATTAATGGAATTCCCAGACACTTCCTCCTCCACTAACATCATAAAAGCCCTGGTGGACAGCAATGTAGCCAGCACTACCCCAACTGTGACTAACTCCCAACAAGTGGCAGCACCCACGACCCCAGCAACCACCAACAAGTGGCAGCACCCACGACCCCAGCAACCACCAACAAGTGGCAGCACCCACGACCCCAGCAACCACCAACAAGTGGCAGCACCCACGACCCCAGCAACCACCAACAAGTGGCAGCACCCACGACCCCAGCAACCACCAACAAGTGGCAGCACCCACGACCCCAGCAACAAGTGGCAGCACCCACGACCCCAGCAACCACCAACAAGTGGCAGCACCCACGACCCCAGCAACCACCAACAAGCCAGAGGAAGATGATACAACACCAACTACCACTCAGGACCCCCGGAGACGGCCCACACATAAACAATAAAACATACAAGTACCACAGGAACAGGGACCCACAACGGTTCTCACTGCTTCCCGCACACCCACACAAAATGTTGCACAAGCCTCAGTAGTGACCCCAAACACAATAAATTTCTTCTCAAGAAAAGCAATCCACCCGGTTACCCACAAGACCCTCCGAGAGCAAATAAAAACTCAGCACATAAAATTCCAACACAACATTCCGGATGTCCCTACGAGTGACGTGTACGGCCAGATAATGCCATATACTTTTCACCAAAACCCAAACCCCATAACCATTCAACAGATAAGCGGCGAGGACTTTAACACAATGCGCAACGGTTATGGACCGATCCCAAACAATCCACAAGGTGGAAGAGACCCATCAGATTCAACATAGCCATCCAGTCATTAACAATAATTCAACACAATGTTCTACACTGGACTCCGCACAGAGCATTGGAACTCAGCAACTTGTACAGAGAAATAGACCCTGATATAATACTCATTAACAGCCATGGAAAAAAGAATGGTGAGAAGATCAAGATCTTCAATTACAAAATTGACCAGGTCAACAGAGCTGACCAGGCCAACGATGGAGCGGCAATTGCCGTTAAAAGAAATATTCCTCACAAAATTCTAGATAACTTCCAGGAAAACTTCCTGGCAATTGAACTCCAAACTACGAAAGGTATAATCTTCATAGGAACATGCTACCAACCACCAAGACGTCCTTACCTTCCCCTTGCCGACATCATGAAACTTACCAGAAGGAACAGACCCGCCTACTTTCTGGGTGATCTGAACGCCAAGCACAGAACACTGGGACATGGAAGGAACTACCAAGCAGGAGAAGCCATCCACAATATGATAAGGAACGGAAATCTAACCCACCTGGGCCCAGACTTCCCAACTTACGTCAGACAAGGCCACAGTGGTAAACCAGACATAATACTGTCAAACAACCACTACCTCCTAAACACCCACATAGAAAGGGGCCCCGTGAGCACAAGCGACCACTTACCAATAATAATGACGCTGTCAACTAACCCCATTCAGAAACCCTCACCACCAAGACTTTAATACACTAAAACTGACTGGGAGACGTTCAAAAGCAGTGCACAGGAAATCAGTGTCACAGATTTTAATGGAAAGGACATATCATGCATAAACGCCGAGTTAAATACATGGATTAGCACCATAGAAAAATGCATGACTGATCACATCCCCGTAGCTCACCACATAACGCTCCCACACCCCCCAGCCACTGAGGCGCTCAGGACACTGCAAACCAGATATAACAACCTTCAACAACTCATAACACAACACGGGTGGACGGATGAGCGCAAAAGACTACAAAGGGAACTTCAAGATGAGCTGCAAGATCTGTGCAAAACAGAGTACACCAAACAATGGGATGATCTAATAAGCAAAATCCAAGTCGACTACAGAAACCCGGGGAAGTTCTGGAAAAAAGTAAAGACCGTGATGGGAAGCTCTTCTGAGGAAACACCCTACATCATAGACGCCTCAGGAAATAAACTCTATGAGGAGAGAGAACAAGAACAGGAATTCAGGAAGTTCTGGGAAAAAAATTTCAGGATAAACCAGGAAGAAAATTTAAATTTTTGCCCAATTAATGAAAGGGAAATTACAACTCAAGTCGATAACAGAGCTGCAGCACTACTCCCGACGCAAATAGACCTTAACAACATACGCGATGACTGCCACCTTATGAAACACAACCATTGCAGAGGTCCATAAAACAATTATGGGTTTCAAGAACAAGGCGCCGGGCAACAGAAAGATAAATAAGATGGTATTTTCGAACCTAACAGTGATTGCACTCCATCAATACACATGTATCATAAATGCAGCTCTTGCATCTGGACTATTCCCCACATACTTCAAGAATGCCACAATAAGATTAATAATCCCCAAGCCAGGTAAACCCCCAACCCGAACTGAAAACTACAGGCCAATTTCCCTCCTCGAAGTACCAGGTAAAATATTCGAAAAAATTATCAATCAGAGACTTGTGAAGTACATGGAAGAGGAAGGGAAGTATAACACCAGGCAGCATGGGTTTAGACACCGCAGAGGGGCCCATACAGCTATAGCCCTGATCTACCAGCATATAGCAGAGGGGCCCATACAGCTATACCCCTGATCTACCAGCATATAGCAGAGGGGCCCATACAGCTATACCCCTGATCTACCAGCATATAGCCAACGCAGTGTCGAAAAAAGATCAGTGTAATATAGTGCTGAGAGACGTCTCGAAAGCCTTCGACAAAGTGTGGCACACAGGCCTAAAATATAAGATATCTGAACTAGGGCTACCTGAGAAATTTACTGCTACTCTCTGCAGCTTTATAGACAATAGAACTGCTAGGCTTAATATCGGCAGCTACTTGGGTGACGTAATAGAATTGAAAAGTGGAGTACCACAAGGAAGCTGCCTCTCCCCCACTCTATTCAACATATATACAGCTGACCTACCCCAACTCCAACATGGAGAATACATCACATATGCTGACGATGTTACCCAAATAATTTGCCAATCGGGACCATCAAAGCCGCTACTAGCCGACAAGACCAAGGCAGCAATCAACTCATAAACAACTTTGAGAAGCAATGAAAAATTAGCACCAACAAACAAAAGTTTCAGATAATACACATTGCGAAAAGAAACCCGGACCCCATCATCCTTGACCCTATCATTCTGCCTACCTCCGATCCAATATGCGGAGGTAGGCAGAATACTGGGACTTATGATAAATAGAACAGGGATACAAATTCATGTAAGGGACCGACTAAACAAAGCAGCATTAGGAAAACTGAAAAGATTCCGAAGCCTCAGTACTAACATTCAGATCCACCTATATAAGGCTCTAGTTCGGCCGCATCTAGAGTATCCACCAGTACCACTACACACCATAAAGAAAACAAACATGCAAAAACTGCAAGCAGTACAAAATAAGGCGCTAAGGAGAGCAGCAAAACACCGTCCACCATATGATCAGACAATCCAGGAGCTCCATGAACTCCTGAACATACAGCCACTAAACATCAGACTGCAGCACCAAGCCATCAGGGTGTGGAACACCATCCCAATGTTAGAGAACCCAATGTTTGAAAGATTGCTCCAAGATGAGACGCCCCGCTCCCACAGCTGGTGGCCCAAGAGCCTCGATTCTCTGGATGAAAACCCCGCCCCACAGTATATAATTCCTAGATGAGATACTGACCAGATATCCTTCCCCCATAATTGGAAAACTGAGTATGTAGGTGTGTATGTATGCATGTGTGTGTATATGGGTGTGTATGAGTGGGTATATGTGGATGTGTGTATATGTATATATGAGTATGTGTGTGTGTATATGTATATTGTGACGGGAAAGTGTTGGAGTGTAGATGTTCGGCAGTGTCCTCCAATGGCAGGTGTCAATGCCTGGTCACATATAAAAAAAAAAAAAAAAAAAAAAAAAGAGTGCTTGCCTGTTGTCTGTGGTAAGTGAGAGGGAGGAACACGTAAAACACAAAGTATGAACAATGAAACTTTAATATATTTACTTTAAACATAAATGAAAATAAAGACAAATCTCGGGGGAGTGAAAAGTACAATTGAATAACAAAGATAAATGCAAAGACAATGAGACAATAGTATAAAGGCGAAATGATAAAATGGTGCTGAGAATATCCGCTATGGCTGAGACCTCCCTTCGTATACAAGCCAGTGAGCTTAGTATGCCAGAGAGAGATGTCAACTCTAAGAGCACAAAGAATATTCTGAAGTTGATAGCTGGTCAGGGCTCCGACGTCGATTCAGGTAGATGGCGTGGAGGTGCAGTGTGCAGGTGCGCGGTTGGCGAGTCACCAATCAGGAGCAGGCAGGCTGGAATCGGTAGTTTGCTGGTTGACGACAAGCCGGCATGGAGGGTGTGTGGAGTAGGGGGGATCTTGGGTACGTTTTGCCTCCTGGTCAAAACGTTTTGTGCTACCGGTGACGTATCTTGAATGTAGCATCTTATACTTGTTAACTGGACGCAACCTGAGGTAGGGAAGAGCAGGCTCAATCTCTCTAGAAAGAGATTATCGTCACAATATTATATATATATATATATATATATATATATATATATATATATATATATATATATATATATATATATATATATATGTGAACAAGCCTGAATGGTCCCCAGGACAATATGCAACTGAAAACTCACACCCCAGAAGTGACTCGAACCCATACTCCCAGGAGCAACGCAACTGGTATGTACAAGACGCCTTAATCCACTTGACAATCACGACCGGACATAATGAGGTGATAGCCGAAGCTATTTGAACCACCCCACCGCCGGCACTCGGATGGTAATCTTGGGCATAGCATTTTACCAAATCACCTCATTCTTTGGGGCACACGTGAGGAACACAAAACACAAAAGAACACATGTCAACGGAAGCAGGAGACATCCGCGCCTGGATGACATACAAGGCATCCAACACCCTCGTTCTCATCCGCTAGCTTACCGGGCACCCCTTCCCCTCCACCACCACCCCCATCCCTCACCCTTCCCCTCTCATATCCCTTCCGTTTCCCCTCCTTCTCTCCCTTCCCTCCGCCACCTCTCACACTTTTTGTATAAATATTTTGAGCCACCTTTGAACTGTGACGCCCTACAGGACGCTGCTCCTCCTCCCCTTTGATGGTGGAGCCGGAAGCTGCATCTGGCAAGTTTGGACGCTCGGCTCTTGTGTCTTATCAACCCGACGGAGCAGCTTCTTTGATCGTAAAATGGCAGGTTTTGCCTGGTGAGTGTTCCAGGGGCTCGAACCCTCGCTCTCGACAAGTCCGCCTCGCCCAGATAACTTCCTGGAAACAGTCATATTGACTTAGCAACTTTGGCCATAACGGAGGAGCATCGCGGGGCGTCCACGAGCTGCTGGCGGGAGTTAGTCTTATGAACTGAAGTAAGGCGGCTGAACATGCAGCTGAACATGCGGCTGAACATGCAGCTGAACATGCGGCTGAACATGTGGCTGAACATGTGGCTGAACATGTGGCTGAACATGCAGCTGAACATGCGGCTGAACATGTGGCTGAACATGTGGCTGAACATGCAGCTGAACATGTAGCTGAACATGTGGCTGAACATGTAGCTGAACATGCAGCTGAACATGCAGCTGAACATGTAGCTGAACATGCAGCTGAACATGCAGCTGAACATGCAGCTGAACATGTGGCTGAACATGTGGCTGAACATGCGGCTGAACATGTGGCTGAACATGTGGCTGAACATGCAGCTGAACATGTAGCTGAACATGTGGCTGAACATGCAGCTGAACATGCAGCTGAACATGCAGCTGAACATGCGGCTGAACATGCGGCTGAACATGTGGCTGAACATGTGGCTGAACATGTGGCTGAACATGTGGCTGAACATGCAGCTGAACATGTGGCTGAACATGTAGCTGAACATGTAGCTGAACATGCAGCTGAACATGCAGCTGAACATGTGGCTGAACATGTGGCTGAACATGCAGCTGAACATGCAGCTGAACATGTGGCTGAACATGTGGCTGAACATGCAGCTGAACATGCGGCTGAACATGCGGCTGAACAAGCAGCTGAACATGCAGCTGAACATGCAGCTGAACATGCAGCTGAACATGCAGCTGAACATGAAGCTGAACATGCAGCTGAACATGAAGCTGAACATGCAGCTGAACATGCAGCTGAACATGCGGCTGAACATGTGGCTGAACATGCAGCTGAACATGTAGCTGAACTTGCAGCTGAACATGCGGCTGAGCATGTGGCTGAACATGCAGCTGAACATGTAGCTGAACATGCAGCTGAACATGCAGCTGAACATGTGGCTGAACATGCGGCTGAACATGTAGCTGAACATGCAGCTGAACATGCAGCTGAACATGCAGCTGAACATGCAGCTGAACATGTAGCTGAACATGCAGCTGAACATGCAGCTGAACATGTGGCTGAACATGCGGCTGAACATGTAGCTGAACATGCAGCTGAACATGCAGCTGAACATGCCGCTGAACATGCGGCTGAACATGCAGCTGAACATGCGGCTGAACATGCAGCTGAACATGCAGCTGAACATGCAGCTGAACATGCAGCTGAACATGTAGCTGAACATGTAGCTGAACATGCGGCTGAACATGCGGCTGAACATGCAGCTGAACATGCGGCTGAACATGCGGCTGAACAAGCAGCTGAACATGCAGCTGAACATGAAGCTGAACATGCAGCTGAACATGCAGCTAAACATGTGGCTGAACTTGCAGCTGAACATGCAGCTGAACATGCAGCTGAACATGTGGCTGAACATGCGGCTGAACATGCGGCTGAACATGCAGCCGAACATGCAGCTGAACTTGCAGCTGAACTTGCAGCTGAACTTGCAGCTGAACATGCAGCTGAACATGCAGCTGAGCATGTGGCTGAACATGTAGCTGAACATGCACCTGAACATGCGGCTGAACATGCGGCTGCACATGCGGCTGCACATGCGGCTGCACATGCGGCTGCACATGCGGCTGCACATGTAGGCAGCACTCTACATCGCCTCAGGGACGCTCTACCGTGTGTTTACACTCGTGTATCCGTCTTGTCTCTCGTGTGA